TCTTGCTTTATGTGGAAGAGATAAAGGCATTAGATTCCAAGGAAAGATTCTGCTGTGCAACGTTTCTTGGAAGATGTTCTTTCAAGGCTGTGGTGCCAAACTGGATGTTGAGTTAAGTTGGTGATGATAATGGAGTAAGGTGCTATTGGTAACCTCACAGGGACTGGAAGGTGGATCTCAAACATGCCTGTGGCTCTGAGAAAGGTCAGGGTAGTGTTCAGTCTCTACAGACAGTTTAGGTGTTGACATTTGTTCTCCATACTCTTTATAAGCAGAAAATGATGGAGTGGAAGTGAAATAGGTGAGCTGAATGATCATACAGGTTTGTCTCACCCTGACTGTGCAATAATATTAAAATGTTCATAAACTAGCTCAATTTAGTAAAACTGGGCTTTGATGCTGCTTTCTGTATTAAATATATTTATTTTTTTAATAGAGATCTTATCTTTTTGCAGACACATGCAATGAAGTTGAATCCTGGTGACTGGTCCTTAAAATTATCACCACTCCAAAAACAGAAGGTACTGTAAATAATTACATATTTTATATTGATACTGATGTTTAAAAATGTGCAACTCTTGTATTGTCCTTGTACTTCATTATTTTGCTTTGAGTTTTTAAAAAGTTAGGCAAATTTTATAGACCTCCTCTTGCTAATTTTCTGAATATCCATGACCTAAAATTCTAAGAAGCTGCATGAAGGCAGAGAGAATTTGGGCAGGCACCTAGAACTCCACCTGTCCAGTGCAGTTTGAGATGGGTGTGTAATATTTCACCAATTTAAGAAGCAAGAGGCTATTATATGCACCCTGTAACTTCATGTGATAACATAAATTTCTACTGGTTTGTTGCTAAGAAAATATTTTGGGACACAGTGTAAATAAAGATTTTATTTACAGATATTCACCATGAAGTATATTTAGAGGAGCAATAATACTGGTCTTAATTATGAAATTAAAGTACTTTGTAGTACTTTCTATTTCACTCCTAAAGTGATCCCAGCTTTTCAGCACTTAGTTATATTTCATTAACATTTTATTTTAGATTTTTAAATTCATAATTTGTTAAATTGGTGTAAAATTTAAAGCAGAAAGACAACAGATTTTCAGACTTCTTAGAAAGAGCATAACAGTGAGTGCATCAGAAGGTTTCCAAAGGAGGGAGGTGTAAGAGAGCTGTATAAATTTCCTTCTGCTTGCACAGCCTCATGCATTGCCCCTGCTCTGGTTTATGGGATGTGGCACTGGCTGCACAATTCCTGCTGCATTTCCTTGGGTAGTGAGAAAGGTGTAGCACTACACTGATCATTGCCAGGATGTTACATTCTTCTAACATGTGCACTTGTAAATTCATTTCGTGTGAAATACTCTACCTTTAAGCTGTCTTTTAATCCCCTCTCACAAATTGTTTCTTTTCTTGTTCAGATGCTTTTGTAACCTTTTTTCTTTCGCTGCCATTTGTCTTTAATGCTTTTTTTCTTTCTTTTTAATTTTCTGCTTCTCATGTGGAATAGAAGAACAATAAAAATGTGAAACTGAAAAGAGATGGTAAGGGTGGGCTGAAAAACAAGGATTCTGATTTTACAAAGGAGGGCTCAAAATTAGAGTCTGGCTCTTTGCAAAAGCAGTCTTCACTTTCAGAGTCAACTGGACAAGATTTAGAAAAGAGTAGTGCCTTTGTAGGGAAGCCTGTAGCCAGAAAAAGTATAAAGAAAGGTAAATCTGAGCATGCACAAAGTGATAGTACTTTGAAAAGTGGTGCTCAAGAAATTACTGAGGACAAAAGCATATTAGTGAAAAGGGAAAAAGAGTGTGTGGAAAATCCTGAATTTTTCAGAGAGGATGCAAGATATAATCTTCCCACTGAAAATCAAATTCTGACTGAAAAAATAAATTCTTCCAATAAAAAGCCAAAAGCTGTTAAATCTAAGCAGTCCCTTAAAATAGAGGTACTTCCTTCTGCTCCCAGGGATCAGCCCCAGGCTGATTCATTAATTGTACAAGAATACAGTCCTTTTAAAAAGCAAGGGAGTCAAAAAACAACAGATAGTCAAAACAAACTAAAGGATGGTGTTGAAAAATCTGACAAGTGTGAAAGAATAAATGTCACAGGAGAAGAAAGTAGTGCAGAACAGAAGGAGCTTAAAAAAAAGCATCAGTTTTTGAAACAAGTATCTGTAACTTCATCATCATCATCATCATCAACTGAGGAAAGTACTAATGATCTCCAAAAATATATACTTAAGGAAGAGGCCTTCTATGAACACAGAGTTGTGCAGAGGGCAAGGAGGACAGTGACACATCTGGACTTAGAAAAAGACAGCGAGGTTGAGGAGATGCAAGCTACAAACACTGAGAAGGAACATGTAGAACAGATGGATTTAAAAAGCCTGAATGAGGAAGAAACAAGCTCTGATGCTAAACCTGATGAAGACAGGGTATTAGAAATTAACAATGAGGAGGAATCTGATCAGGAGCAGGAGAATGAAAGCAGTGAAAAGTGTGAAAGTGAAAAAGAAAAACTGGATGAAACAATTGACAGTGGAGGTAAACTAGAGGAGGAAGAAGAGAGTGAGGCTAAAAACGACAGAGATGAAGTTTCAGTAGAAAAAGATGAAGAGGGAAAAGATAATGAGGAAGGAAATGAACAAGAAGAATCACAGGCTGAAAGAGACAGTGGGAATGAGGGTGCAGAGGAGACTGAGGAGGTCAGCCAGCAAGATGGCAAAGAGCAAAGAGATGAGCAAGGCAGGTTGATGGAGGAAGAAGAAATGGTGAGTGAGGAAGAAAAAGAGGATATGGAGGAGAAGTATGAGAAAGAGAAAGGCACTGAAAAAGACAAAGAGCAGGTTAAAAGTGAGGGAAGAGATGAGAGTGAGGAAGGAGGGGAAGATGCAGAGGAAGGGGAAGAAAAAGAGGTAGAGGCAGAAGAGGAAGGGGAAGATGAAAAGGAAGATGAAGAAGAAAAAGAAAGGGAAAATGAAAAAGACAAAGAGGGTGAAGAGGAGGAGTTGGGAGAATCATTGGCAGGGAGGGAAGGAGAGGTATCTGAACAGGTTGAGGAAGATGCAGATACAAAAACTAAGGAAGTGGGTGAGGATGGAATGGAAGAAGGAAAAGATGGGGAGGATGAAGTGGAAGAGGAAAGAGGAGGTGAGAAAGAGGAAGGAACAGAGGCAGAAGCAGAAGGGGACAAGGGAGAAGAAGATGAAAAGGAAGAAGAGGAGGGGGAAAATGAAGAGAAAGGGGAAGATAAAGAGGGAGAAGAAGGGGAAGATAAAGAGAGAGAAGGAGTGGAAGAAGATGAGGAAGTAGGAGAGGAAGAAGAGAGTGTTGGAGAAGATGAGGGAAAAGAGGGAGTGGAAGAAGAAGAGGAAGATGAGGAGGAAGAAGAAGGAGTTGAAGAAGGGGGAGATGAGGAAACCAGAGAGGAAGAAGAAGAGGTAGAGGAGGAGGAAGAGGCAGGACAGGAAGAAGGAGAAGAAGAAGAAGGGGAAGAGGAGGAAGAGGAAAAAAAGGAAGAGGATGAGGAGGAAGAGGAAAAAGAGGAAGAGGGTGAAGAGGAAGAGGAAAAAGAGGAAGAGGGTGAGGGGGAAGAGGAAAAAGAGGAAGAGGGTGAGGAGGAAGAGGAAGAGGAAAAAGAGGAAGAGGGTGAGGGGGAAGAGGAAAAAGAGGAAGAGGGTGAGGAAGAAGAGGAAAAAGAGGAAGAGGGTGAAGAAGAAGAAGAGGAAGAGGGGGAAGAGGGTGAGGAGGAAGAAGAAGAAGAGGGGGAAGAAGAAAAAGGGGAAGAGGGTGAGGAGGAAGAAGAAGGGGAAGAGGGAGAGGAGGGAGAAGGTGAAGAGGAAGCAGAGGAAGAAGAAGATGAGGAGGAAGGGGATTTAGGACAGGAAGAAGAGGATGAGGGAGAGGATGAGGATGAGGAGGAAGAAGAAGAGGAAAAAGTAAAAGATAAAAGGAAAAATTATAGTGGTAAACTTCCAGAAAAGAAAAGCAAACACAGGAAGCCAGAAAAGACAGCAAGTGCTGCTTTACCAAACAGCTCTAAACAAAACGTGAAATCCAAACGTCGTGTAGCAAATGGTTTACATAATCCAGAACAATTTTGGAACAATGTGCTACCTCATTATTTAACACTAAAGTAGCATAGACTACTGCAGGTGAATTTTAAGCCTATTCAGGAAAAAGATTGATTTTTATTACTTGAAAAAACTTTTTGTGGAATCACAGCATACTATTATGCATATAATTTAAGTGCCAATTTCTTGAAAAAGACTGAAGAAAATGTTTAGATTTAGAATACTTTTATGAGAGAAATCATACTTTATTGATACAATCACTTTCATAATTATGTTTAACATGTATGATATATAAAACATTAATTGTTGAGGAGGTAAACTGTGTTTCCTCTTGATCAAAGTGTAATGTCATGGTGACAAATCAATTATGCATTGTAACAGTGTAATCTTTGCCTTTGAATCAGCAACACACCAATTTTAGTAGCAGGGCCATTTACTGACAATGTGCCTTACATGAAGGAGTTTCAGTAAATTAGCAAAGGTACATATTTTAAAATTTTGGTATCACTCTGTTGTAATTGAATGACAATACAAAGCAACACGCTCCATTTTCAGAAGGCTTCAAACCTGTTTTTATTCTAGCATGCATGCTTTTTATACATTCTTACAAAACTCATAAGTTTACACTTTATTGATTGGACATGAGAGACAAAGTTCTCATTGGAATAGGCAGTTGTAGGTTTCCTTTATTTATCCTTCTTTCTTTCTTGGTTTCTATGTCAATGGCCTTGGTAGAAAATTCTTTCAGGGGTAAACATGGATCCTCTTATCAAACTTCTCTCTGGCTCACAGAACTATCTGTAAAACCTCTTCCAGATCACTCCATAATTTATTCCCCCCACTTTTATTCTGTTCATACATTGGTAAAATGTTCAAGTACCTAAATTAAAGAAAGGACAAATTGCCAAATTTACGTGGGAGGTAAATGGAAATGCAGGCCTGGGTAAGTGAGGGCCTAGGACTTTCCAAGGGCCTTAAGGCTGACTACTTATTTTGTTGTCAGCACATAATTCTGTGCAAAAAGACACACACAGGTCTCAGAATCTGGCCTAGATTACTTTAGAGTTCGGGGATAATTTTTTTAATATCACACTTGGTGATTGGATAGAAATAAGAATTTGAAATACACATTTCTAAAACATTTTTTTATTTGTTTTTACTGTGCAATACACAAAAGATTCTATATCTGCCTACAAATGACTATATCACATTAGTCCTCTAACTCTGAGGTACTCCAGGAGGGGGAATATATGTTGTTGCTGTGTGAAACATATATATGTTTCCAGGATCAGAGCCAAAACTTCTCATTGGAGAATATTTATGGTTTTTAAAAACCCTATCTGTAATCTCCAAAAAGAGGCAAACCAACAAGCCAGATGGAATAGTAATGAAACTAGTAGGAAAGTCTGATTTTTTTTTAAGACAAAGTTAATACTTTTAGAATTTCCTTAAAATACACAAACAAATCTTGCAAATTATTTTTGTAAGATAATGCATCAATCTTTCAACTATTAGAGACTGAACTGGCAAATGAAGAGATAGGGACTCATCATGCAGAATTGTTACTTGAATATTATGCCAATGGGAGGTCTGGGAAATTTTTACTAACAGATCTCAGTACTGACATTCTCTAGAAAAACAGTTGTTTAAGCCCTACTTGAAAATGAGGAGAGAAGAAGAAAGGAATCAAAAGGAGTAAATGTCATTCAACAAAAACATGAATGGAATCGATACTTACATTGATATTATGAAACATTTTATTATTGTTTTGTGAGATGCTGGCATTAAACAATCTTTGACACGATGTCTCCAGAATTTATTTTCTACAAAGCCTGTAGTAGATCAGTAGTTTCCTAGTAAATCCTAGTCTAGGTCCAACCTTCCTGCCTCGCTCACCCCTTCCATGGGCTGCATTTGAAGGTAAGATCCCTTCAGTCATGTGCTGTGCCTAACTACAGCAAAAAGTTACCCCAGTGGCTGTATTTTATCCCTGTGACATTTGTTTCAAACTTTGGATTTCTCTGGAACATATTGTCTTGACATCAGCATGTGTCTTTGGAGCAGGGTAAGTATCCTCATACTCTGTTAGAGAATATTTTATCAGTTAAATGCCCTTCCCAAGCTCCCTCTAACAATGAGTCATTGGCTATTTTGCCAGTGTGCTGTGCTATCACTGAACTCCTCTGAAAACACTTGCCCTTGAAACTAAGTGGAGCTGTGATGTGTTATTTTATCTTTCTTAGGAAACTTTAGGATGTTACTGTGATGAAATTTAGAAAGTTTAGTAGTATTGAAAAGTATTTTTTATGGGTCTAAAACTGTGTTTTCTGGATATGACATCTACTTCTTTGTGGTTCCAGAATTCATCGTTGGAAGAAAACTGGGCTGTGAAAAACAACACTTTTTTCTAGTGAAAAACATTTCCTAGAGAGAGAAAGAGAAAAAAAGGAGAGCAATTTAAAGCAAGTGATTTCCAATTCCACATAGGAATGGCCCTTCATTTACTGTTTGGTTGCAGCATTTAATGTAAATTCTTAGGAAAATGAGGACTATTTGTTGTTTCTCTCTTAACATATGCTGATAGCAGAAAGCTTTCCAAGAAAGTGAAGGAAGCCAGCTTATGGTCATCTCCTCTTCTTTGTTTTGTCTAGATTAAAATTCATTGATTTGAGAACTGATTTTATGTAGTTTTGTGGATCATTCCTGTGGTGGGGGAAAAGCAGAACTTTACTCCAGCACTTCTAAGGGTTTTCCACAGGCTCATTACATAAATTGTTCTCTCTGCCAGCATTTCTGGGCCTTCAGAGGACTTTGGAACTCCATTAGCATAATGAGTGGAACTTTATTTAGTTTGACTCATTCTGGTTTATGAAGTTTGCTACTTGTGGTTTTGTGAAAATTCAGTATATCCTTGGTATTTATTATGGCATACAAAGAGATTCATATGCAGTACTGAAGAAACATGGCAGAAAAAGTCCTTAGTTAGTTTTTAATAGAGAAAAGAAATCCTGCATTAGAGAGAGAAAACAACAGACAATTGCCCAGGCCAAAGATCTCTCCATCTCTTTTCTACCAGTGGCTGCTGGTGAGTGCCTGGGAAAAAAATAAATTAGAATATTAGAGTAGCACAAAGGTGTAGTGTTACATTTCCCCTGTAATCATTCAGTATAAAGAATATATTCAGCATTTTCAATAATTTGTAGTTCAGCAGGTACATGTATTACATTTAACATATATTTTCTTCACATTATTTTCTTTCAATCATTTTTTAATCTGTTTAGTATGTTTTGAAAAATTAGATTTCTTTACTCATTGTTTGGAGAAGTAACTCCTCTTTTTTATTTGCATCATTTGATGGCTTTGTATTCTTGTACTAGAAAAAAGAGCACTTATTCCCTCTTCACTATTTATTCCCTAATGATTATCACATAGAAAAAGTGTTCAGTTCTGTGGTTTAGGTCAAGAATAAGTGGTTTATTGATTTAGTAATTACAGCTAACCAGCCATCAACCACCTACATGTTTAATTCAAGAGCAGCAACACTGGACATCCTCAAAGTGTTAATAAGCACATGCAAATTTCTAGGCATCCCCTGCAGCTCATCTCAGAAATTTTAATCCCGTGCACAGTCTCACAGAGATTCCCAGGATGACAGATGCTGCCTTTTACAGAGGGTGTGCAATACAAACACCTCTGGCACTTTCAGAGGGTGGGGTGCAGGTCTGCTGCTGCCCCACAGCTCTGCTTACAGGTGAGGGTGTTCTGGGTGACCATGGAATATTCTGTAGCACAGCTCTTCTCTTGTGCCTGCAAAATTTCAGCAGATAAGTTTTTCCATTATAGCTGAACATATCAAACCATTTATTCAGATAGTAAATCTCTTTGCATAATTGATGCTGAGTAACAAAAATGTCCTTCTCCAAGCTGCAAAAAATGTCTAGGTTTCACTCATTATTTTTTGTTCCAGTTTCTTATCGGGATGACCACATGGATAGTCTTTAGAACAGGGCCTTTCAGAATTATGCTGAAAGGACATCTAGTTTTTATTTTCATTGCTCTTACCTTTTTTTTCCCCTCCTAGTTTTTCCTTACCATTTGGTATCTTTTAATATAAATTTTAGCTTGTTTTCTCCCAGGATGACACTACCTTTTAGATCCTATCTGTCATATAACATTAAGGATCTGTAAAAAGGCCTAAAAAGGGCAAAGTAAATGTGAAAGGGCAATTTTTCATCTAATTGTGGAAGTGACAGTATTTAGTACTGTGGCATTCTATGAGCAACTGAGGAAATTCTTTGCTTGCAGAAATGGCAAACCCATGGTATTGTGCTCGGTAAAGTTCTGAGCATGTTTGGGATCCAAAGTCACTCACTGAGCTGTAACATTCTTATACACTTATTTATGTTTTAATGGAGACAGAAGAGGATTGAAAGGATATTGAAAGGATTTTGGAGAGACAGCTTGGGAATCAGAAAATTGCATTGCAGACAGCAACAGAAGTTTTATTTTTCTATTGCCAAAAGAAGAAGCGAGTACACTTGATCGCTCTCTTTTTTTAAGGATTTATGATAGTGCTCATTGCTTTTTTGCTTGTCAATCTCTGTTATATTAATTTAAACAAATATTAATACTGTTATCTCAAACCCCATGCTTAGTTATGAAAATAATCCTTACCAGGGCCCTGAAATGTCTGGTGTTAAAATATTTACCATTCTGGTTTTGTTATTTCTCCAGCATTGAAGAGTCAGAAATGACTCTTGGTCTGTGGTGGGTTGCAGGGCTGTCTGCTGGAGTATCCCGGGTTCAATGGTGTGGATTTAGAGCTTTATAATTTGTCATGATTGCCCACCTTTCACACAGTCTCATTTGTGGTTTGTGTGAAATATAAAGTATTTGTGCTGTCATATGGAGAGTGTGAGAGAGAGAAACAAAGGTGGCTCTAAGAAGAATTTTATATTAAACAAAGCCTTTATCTGCACCTCTTTTGTAAGGATATAGATCACAGTAATATTGAAGAGTAATGTTCAACCCCCCCATGTGCTATTGTTGGTACAAGAGCCTGTGCTGTTTGACTGGAAAGTGAGCAATAAATACCAGCCTAAAAGGAGCTTGTGAGCCACCCTGGCAGAGCCTGGCTTTCTTACAGGACGTATAAAATACTTCACTTTCATTCAATCCAGCATCTATTCAAGGCACAAAACTACTTTCATAATTAGAAACACAGCAGCAGAACTGCTGCAAAATTTAACCTCCTTTACAAGGCACTTCATTATCATCTGTGTGGAGAAAAAGGACAAAGCAAACCTGAACTGTCCTGTATCAAGGGTACAGAAAGAAGTCAAGCTGTGCTTTAAAGCCAGCCTTGCAGTGGCCGAGGGAGAACTTCCACAAGTGCTGGCAGGATGTGGAGAACAATTCCATGGGGAAGCTGGTGGCACTTGCATTGCTGGGTGTGTCCTGAAAAATCTATGAAATGAGAATGGGCTTAAAGATTAGTGATGGTTGTGTAAAAATTACCACTTTTACATCAGAGAATTTTGAAGTGGAGGCAATTCCCTGAGACCCAGTCTTGCAGTCTGGGGAGGTTTTAGCAGTGACTCATGGACCAGCTCTTTGAGGAATGTACCGAGTCAGAGAATCTCTAAAAACCTTCCTGCCCGCTTTGGTGCTTTGGCAAAAATTTGCCTTTACCAGTATTTTTTATCAAAGCACAGAAGAAAAACCAGCATGATTACAGCAGGATTTTAATGAGAAGTAGAGGATTTGGGAGAGACATGCAGTATCTGAGCTATGTGCACAATAAAAGCAGGAGTGACTGTCCTCAATCACTTGCAAATATGTGGGAGCTGCATGACAAACTCCAGACACTACAAATTTTCTATAAGGATTTGGAAAATATGCACAATCTGCATCCAAGTGTGGGCCACTATTCCCAATTTATTTCTCTGTGTCTGTTAGCATTAAGAATTCATTTTTATACAGCATAATATCTTCCAGAGACACAGTAAGTTTTTCAGAAAACACCAACATATTCTGGAGTTGCTCATTATATTTCTCCTGTTTTGTTCAAGTACCCAGGAGTTATTTTGGTATACTGTTTCTGAGTGACTGAATATTAGAGGGTATTTATGTCACTGTGTAAAATACTTCATAAGATATTATACTTGATATAAACGTCTCTAACTTGTTTTATGGTTTTCACAAAACACCTTTAAAATTCTTTCTAGTTCTGTAGCAGTTTTTTTTCCACTTTTTGCTTGGAAATTTATATTTTCTGTTTGTTGTCCAAAGAAAGAAAACTTTTATGAGAAGGTATCTGTTTTGTATATGAAAGTTGTAGCACATCTGAGCTATTTCAGATGTTGATTTATCTTGGAGAATAAACAAAAAATATCTTTTGAGTTGCTGGGAACATAAAACTTTAGATAACTATTTAAATGTCTAGTGAAAAACTGAAAGTACAAGTACTTCTTCAGAATGTAGTTCTAAATTAGAATTTTATACATTGGTAAGTAGTTATTTTTATTCACAGAAGAATGCAGAGATACATCTTTCTCCAGGTACACCTACAGCAGCAACCTGGCAAACCACAGAATAATAACACCAAAGCCAACTGAAATAATCCTTAAGACAATGCCCTCAAAAATTACTGGCTACTCTGTGTAATCAATGCCAGTGTGCAGTCTCAGGATGACACCTAAAGCCTTGGTTAATGAATGTAATCAGATTAATCCTCTTAATGCAAAGTATGTGTACTGCCAGCCTGTGACAGAAGTGCACAGGTCTGTGGAGACACCTGTAGATTGTTGTGTTCAGCTTTTAGCAAATAAAATATGTTGGGTAGCAAAGCGTGGGCTGAAAAAACTTAATGGAAAATGAACCTGTTCAGTCAGTCTCTACCAACATCTTTTATCCCAGGGTGATGCCATCCTGTTGGAGGGCACTGTTGTGGTAATTAGTCACCACATGTCCAGGGTAATCAGTGTATCACTACAAGGCAACTGCTACTTCAGTATGTTTTCTTCCATCATATTTAAAGCACAACTATCTTTATAGTTCAGTTTTTGACATTTAACAGTGGAAACTCCTATCTGACAGAAAACTGGTTTCCAGTGGTTTCACTGCACAGTGTGCCTGAAATTACAAGTGCAGCATTGCCTTCATTTTCCAGGACACTCACACAGCAGCAGCATTAAGGGAGTGGTATAAGTATCAGGTAATCCATGTTAAGTGCTCTTAACATAAATTTGTGTAATTGGGAAACCAATGTAACCTAGTAGAAACCTAGGTGTTAGCTTTAGACAAGTTATGGTGGCAGGCTCAGCTTTTTGCAGGAAATTCTTCTAAGTGTGTTTAGCTGAGCTTTTCTGTTTGTGACAATATATAATGAAAGCTTAGTTTGGCTCCTTATTGCTTGTAAGTGGAAGGAAAATCTGCTAAATCTCTCATTGGAGTACTCATGTCTTTGAATTTTGTCAGTCTTTTGACAGCTTTCTTTAATAATCATTAAAATAAGGGATATTTCTCTAAGGCTTAGAGTAGCTGAGCTAATAACTCCTCTATATTAATAGCTACAAAATGAAAGCCAGTTCAAATATCTGATGACAAGTGGCTAACACTGTGTGGACTTTAAGGTGTTAAGCTGTCTCTGGAGCTGCTTAATAAGAAACAACACAGCATGAATCTTAGCTTTTCCAGCAGTTCTGTCAGGCAGTATTTCCAGTCACTTCACATCAGATGCCTTGACACCCTGATTAGTATCAAGAAAATGTTACATGGCTACCCATCCATATACCTCTACCCACAAAAGGTAAACTGAGCTTTTTGGTTTTGGGGTTTTTTTTCACTCATCTGTACTTAAGATCAGGGTTGGTGGTGTTACTTTAAGTGCTGTTTTAGTAAAATGTTAACCCAGTGCATTTTACCAGCATGGAGAGTTCACGAGTGATGTGGATGTGCACTAGGTTTTTGGAGAGCAGAATGACAGCTAGCATATGGTATGATTCCTCTACCTATTCCTCTTCAATCCTGCATCAAAGCAAGAAGATAGTCTGTAGAATGTGTTTTGTATTTGTCTTTACTAGTGCTCCAGAAAGTGCAGGCCCATATGAAGCATGACCATTGCCCAACCTCCTTGGACCTAATACCCATCTACTCAAAGTCTTCTTCTTCATAGGGAAAATCCTGTTTGGTATTTATATCATTCATTTATCCTGTAGACATGTGAAAGGGCCATGAGAATGCTTTTGGGCATGTCAAGCTAATGAGCTGGGCAGGTAATGGAGAAATCTGTTCCTTAAATGATTAAAAACTCTGCTAAGCAATTGCTGGTTTATTGCTGCTTGGCAGAGCACCACACAGCAACAGACATGTAGCTACCTACCTCATTCTCAACTCTCTTGAATAACCTTCTCTGTGGACTTTGAACAGTTTCCAAGGCAACTGGAAACAGAAACATCTCTGTAAACCAGAGGTTCCTAGAACTCTCCACTTCAAATGGTACACACAGTAATTACAGCTTTCTCTTCATCACTGAGTTTTCACCAGATTTTAAAAAGATCTGCAACTAAATTTGTCCCATCAGTGGGAGATTTTGAGATTTTCTTCTCTAAAAATATAAAATGATCATGGCAAACATTATTTTGACTTCTTGAGGAGATGTGGAAAGATACCATAAGCCTTCCCTTCTGAAATGCTAATTATGAGCAGCCCATCTGCCAGAGCTGTTTCCATAAACTAAGCAGGAGGGGTCCACAATGAAACAATTACAGAAATAGAGAGAAACCTAGTTGGCAGCTGTTGTTTGAGCAAGGTCTACCATGAGATGTGTCTCAGTCTTCAGTGAGACTTTTAGCCAGAGCATGGCACCAGCTGAGACAACAGTACAGACAGAGGGAAGTTTTTTCCCCTCTCTCCTGTGGACATAGGACCACATTTTTGTAGAGCATTTTGAAAAGAAATGTCTTTATTCTGTATTAACCTGCCCAAAGAAAAGCCAGCCAGCATTTTAGCAGAAGACAGTTACACACCCTGAGTTATACCCACTAAAGCAATACTTTTGCCAGAACCAGTGCAAGTAAAGTCATTTGTCCCCAAAAGCTTGGAAACAGCAAATTTATGTTTAAGAATGTCTAGTTATGAAGGTCTGGATTTACAGGAAAACCAGAATAAATGCATGACAATAAATCAGCAAAGACAGCTCTACGAAAATATGCGTATTGTGTTAAATGTGCAAGGTTATATTTTCTAGATTGCTGTTCTGCTGTGCTGATTTATTATACTATAGGTACAAAATGTTTGACTGTTTCATAGTAACAACCACTGTTTTGTCCTTGAAGAAACTGGAACCTCAAGCCTAAATGAAACCAGTTTGAAATATTTCACTTGTATGCTCTCTACTGCTTTTGACTTTCTGTGCATGACCTTGGCCTAGACAGCTTCTCTCTGTCTCAACTTTAGAGGTATTGAAGGTATTCTTTCAGCGTTACCTTTCTATGAAAAAGGAATTTAGAGTGAAATAAAAAAATAAACCCCCTAAAGCATGATGAAAGAGAATAATGAAGAGATTATAGGTATATATAATATATGTAAATTTTATATATATATATATATATATATATATGTATATACATATATACATACACATATACAGATGTACTTTATTTAGTAGCCTAGGTTATTAGATTATTAAATTCTTCAGGTATAAGTTTGAATGGTCAGATGATTCATCCTTTAAGGTAAAAGTGTATCTGTAGTATGACATTCTCAGATCATTCCCTACCATTGGTAAAATCTCCAAAACATGCCTGTAAATGGGCAAGCAGAAATAACAGTAACAGAACTGTGCTATCAGAGTTATGTAAAATGTGCTATTTTAGGAGCACCAGGTGAGGTGACAGCCAGAGACACCTGTGAAAAGCTGCAGTAAATGGAAATGGGGTCACTCTGGGAAGCTGTTCAGTTAAACAGGGGGCTTCCTTGGAGTAAAAGGAGTGTCTCTCTCTACGTTTTTTATTTTGGATGAAGAGCATGGCTCAAATAAATTCATCTAGTGTGATTTTAAGTGCTGTAGGCTGTGAGCTGGGCTCCAGAACGATGCAGGTCTCCATAAGTCAAGGATGTCTCAGATTCCTGGGATATGTGAGTTGGGCTTAGCCAAGGAGTTCCACCAAAGGTCTCTGTGTTCAAACTTCACTGGTGATTTCCTCCTCACCAGCAAGTTACCTTCTAATGAGCATGAGAGCAGCTGGGCAGACAACAGGCAAAAATCCAAAGAAGTAAGAGAGAATATGGAAAACATTAACAACAGATAGGAGACAACATTTGGAACCAGCTGTAGGAAGGGGTTCAATGTAAGACTCTTTGCCACATTTCCAAAAGGGTGAACAGATACTTCCCAAGGTGACCTTGGCTGCAGTGAAACACAAATGTTCTCCTCTGGGCAGTGATGTGCCTTCACTTGAGATTACCTTGGAAACCCTTGGTTTAGGCCCTTATATTTCTGCAATGGGAAGGAGAATGCTTCTTATTTAAATATTGCATGTTATGCTGTTATAAGTACATACAGGCATAATAATGACAATCTGATTGAAGGGAGTAAGAAGGATATAATTGATTCATTTTTCTACACATTTTACAGAAATAGCATTCGTGCTCTAAAATATTTATTTTACAATGCCCTTGGCCATTTTATTTTTACTATATTGAAATTTTATCTTGGGCTAAAAAGAACTTAAATTCAAATTATAATGTCTGTATTGAATCACACGAATCGAAGCTTTGTATCTGGCATTTCTTCATTAATTTTCTTGAGAAATAGGTTTGGAATTTTTTTTCGGTATTGGAATTACTACTGCTTGTGTCCATTATGCTCATTTAAAACATTTAAAAGAAATATTTTCTTTCCAAAAAAAGTTATTTTCATTGCTTTTTCTTTAAGGAGGCACATGTTGGCAAAACATAAGTCAGCTGCACTCCTAATGTTCCCTGGAGGTCAGTTTATTAAAAACAGATTAAAATTAGCAAACTTTGATTGAGGTCTCCTGTGTCTGTTCTTATTCTATCTCCTTAGAACATTCCCTTTTAAGTTTTCTTGTTCTTAGTCAAATTCTGATATGTGATGAACTTGTGTGGGATAAGGATCATGATCATTGTACACACTGAGTTTCAAAATTATGTTTTGACAATTTTGTCCAAGGAACAAAACTTGTATGGAGATGAAGAAATAGATGATGAGGAGGAAGAAGAAGAAATAGAAGAAATAGAAGAAGTAGAAGAAGTAGAAGAAGTAGAAGGAAAAGAAGAAACAGAAGGAGGTGAAAAAAAAGAAGGAACAGAGAAAAAAGAGGAAAAAGTGGAAAAAAATGAAAAAGAAAAGGATCGTAAATCACCAGAGGGAGAGACAAGCAGCAGTAGTAGCACTGTGGAAACTGGGGAGGTAAAGGCATTTACTCCTATTAAGTTACTGGTCTCTGAAAGAACTTGGTTCTGTAACTAACTTAAGTTTGATACATGTGTACCTATGCTTTAAATGCAAAGTTGTTGTTTGGGGTGGTTTTGGTAGAGGAAGAAACACATATAGGTGTTAATAGTTAAACTTTTTTTTTTTTTTAACAATTTTGAAAGAGTTGTTTGGTTTTTTTTTTTTTTTGGTCTATAGACAGAGGAGACTACTCAGAAAGAGACCATCGTTCAGCAGGGTAAGAATACAATTCCCAAGAATTGTACATTCTAAAGACAGATACAAGTTTTCTAAACAATATTATAAAAATACTGGACAACACAGTTCTTCTTCATAGTTGCCAAAGCAGTTCTTGAGAGGTAATGAAATTTGAGGGGCAAACCCCCATTATTAACTGTTAATTATTTGAAAGAAATAAATACTTTTCCCAGTCATATGTTGCAGGAAGTCCACAAGGACTTTCTCTTCTCTCTCTCTTTCTCTGTGCAGTGCCAAAGTCATGGGAATTTTATTGTCTCTCAGGCAACTTCTTTAGGTGCCCTGTGCCTCAATTCAATCAAGAAGCTGCTCAGAATTCTTCCCCATCTTTTTCAGCTGACATTTCCTCATTCTATTCACAGAGAGATTATTTTAGGTGAGATGTGATAATTGCTGAACCCTGTTCAGGATGTGAAGATGTAAGTCTAGAAGCTCCTTGCAGTTTTGATGACAGTTTATGGGAACTGAATACTCCTTTATAAAAGCTGGGGAACATGAAATTGGGTACCCTATATGTATAGGACTTTTTTTTATTTTAGAAATTTGGAATAATCTAGAATGGTTCTCTTGAAAGAAAATAACAAGTGTGGTATAAAACAGACCACAGCCTTTATAATGAAGAACCTATGCCATTTATTTTCAATATTATAATGGAAATAGCTTGTACAGAAGGGATGCTAAATATTTTTCCATTATTCAGTGATCTGGAAGTTTTGGTATTAAGTTTGAAATGTATATGATTCATACAGGGAATATAGGAAAATTTAAACACAGGAACATCAACTGAGATGGAAAGTTTTCCTTTCCCAGAATTGTTTCTATGGAATAAAATTCATGCTGAACTGTAACTCCTGTCCTAAAATCAGCTTCGCCAAATTAGAATATACTTGCAAATAAGTGTGCAAGACATTGTCTCCTGTCAGCAAGAGGAAACTGTGTGTGTCAAGTAAAAATATTTTCTATATTGTCAGTGCCATAAGTGTTCTGTTCTTAAAAATAGAGCATCTGGAGAGTAATATCAGGACATTAAATGGAGAGATTAAAAAATAAAAATAGTCTTTTCAGGTTGGGCATCAAGTTTTACTGAATATTCTGATTGTTTTTTCAGTTTTATTTAGTGACCTCTACTTCAAAAATAATCTGAAGAGTAATTTTTTCTGCTTTTCTGTGATATTTTTCTGATTTCCATGAATCAGAAGAAATTTAATATAAACATTTATATTATTGTAGAGATGGAAAACACTGACAATCATGCTGTGAACAGTTCTTCAGAGAACACTGATGACCAAAAAACTGGAGTGGGGAGAAAAAAGGTTTGTGGCCTGATGTTTCTTTCTAGCTTTGCCAGTGACCAAGAAGCCAGTGGGCAGTTACCAAAGCAAATACCTCAACTTATATGATCTGCAAAGATAATTAAATTGCTGAGCAACCTATTCCTTCTGTTTAAGACTTGATTTTATTTTCTGATAGAATAACTTTAAATTGTTCAAATAATAGAAATGAGTTAAAGCCCATTATGTCCTCTTAATGGATGGCATGTCCCTGAGAGAGAGATTGTTCATCACATCATGAACTGGTGAGGTGAAAACTTAGGACTTGATTCCTATGGGATGTTATCTAAAAAGATTTCCCCTCCTATTTGTCTCTGAAATCAGCAGCTGAGCTCATTACCCTGCATCTATTTGCAACATCCTAATTTTGTCATCAAATATGTCTCTCTATATAGGTGCATGAGCATGTTGAGGATATAGGATTATGGATTATAGGATTATATACAGGATCCTATACCTGATATAGGATTTCTTACAGGTTGTAGGTCCAGAGGCTCCTGCAGAGGCTGCTGAGGTTCCTGTTGACCAAAGGCCCTAAGCAGTAGCTAACTTTGGCACCAGTGTGGTGTCACTGAGCTCAAGCACTGTCATTTATGGCTGTATGTTTATCAGCAGCATAGTAAGCACTTTCTGTTCTGGGGCTTCATGTTTAGTCCTTGCCTCAGGCTCTTATTTGAAAGAAACTCAAATAAATGCACCACTCACAGCATTTTGTACAAACTGTACAATGTGTAATTTGACAAAATGCAATCACTTTAACTTTTCTGATTCCCATGTGCTATTTTAACACATTTTAAATATTGCAAATGTTTCTCGATATTTTTTAGTGATTTTGTTTTGGAAAAAAAAAAAATTACCAAGGAGAAATCTGCCAACCTCATTTAACTGTGGTATATACAAAGGGATTTGTGCTTTTTTAATCTTGAATTTCACTGCTAACTGTTTCAGTCATATCATTTACCTGCTTTTTTCACTCCAGTTTTCCCTGTTTAAGCGAAAGCCACTGATGAGCCAGAAGAATGTATGTAGCAGAAAGGAAGACAGCTCTGAAAAGCCATTGCAGAGTGAAGAAAAGGAAAAGGAAGATTTAACTGGTGAAAGCAATAAGGATGAAAATCAGAACCATACACTGGAGAATTCCAGTGAAACTGTGACTAACCAGGACAGAAGGATGAAAGTTAATACATGTACATTGCTGTAAAACTGTTGTAATATAAGAGAATGTGACAGTCCTAAAGCACACAGTGCAATTTTTACTTGAAAACAGTTATGACTCGAGATGTTGATGGCTGCTTTTTTTGATTGATTGGATTGCTGTAATTTTAAATAGGTAGATGATTTTCTTGGTATTTATTGGTAATTTTAACAGTTCAAAATGATATGCTTATCAGCACCTTGCTGGAGTTCTGTGGCCTTACCTGTTGATGTTCTAATGCAAAATATGGGAGTTTTTTAATGTGAAAAGTTGAATACAGGCATTTTATGGTTTTTGCTAAATAATTTTCTTCTGTTTCAGTCTACAGAGTACCACTTTCAGCATGACACTCTTGCAAAATTATAATATTCTATATATTACTTGGTTTAACAACCAAGTTAAGAATATTTAAGGTACTCAGAAATATACATGTTTCTGTTTTGACATAGCAAAAATAGCACTAAAACTTTCAAGTTAACTTGTGGGCCACTATGGAAGAAGTTATTTGAGTATGTGCCTAATTTCACTCATGGCAGTAGTCCCAGTGGAAACAGTGTCAGGATGGAAGTATCCTGCCAAGCTGGGACAGGGAGAAAGCTTTTATTTCTGAGAGGTGCTGAAAAACCTTTGCTCCTGCTGAAATTGGCATAAGCTGATGGGCCTCTCTCCTACTGAATCAGGCCCAGTGGAAACTGGACACCCTCACTCTTGTTTCACTTGGATTCTAGTCCTGTATTCTCTAAATATCCACACCTTAATGAGTCTCCAGTGAAGCTTTTCTCACAGGAAAATAATGCAACCAGAGGTACTGTGGCATCAGTATGACAGACTGATCCCTATGGGGTAAATACTCATTTTTTTCTCAGGCAGACTGGCTTTTCTTCAGATGGAAACAGGAGGAGCCAAAAATCAGTACAAATAAAAACTGCTTAACACCACTGTAGCATTAAGAAGCAGGAATTCTTTATTCAGCCTGATGCTCAAGGGGATATCTCCTCCAAAATATTGTGCAGGCTGAGTACAGAAAAAAATTCCTGTTTAGATACTGTATTTTTCATACACAGTCATTGATTTTCCCACAATAAACATACACATGACAAATAATTTCCCTGAAATCAAGAACATATTTTCCCTCCCATTTGCAAACATTTGTCCTGGAGGTCCCTTTGCTGGTCCCTGGTGGTCAGTGACCCCCCAGTGATCACACAGTGAACTGGTGAAAGGTGGGACAACGGGGCTGGCTGCTTTCCAGTTCTTCCTTCAATTTCCCCAGTTTCAGAGTTGCTTATATTTTATACAATAGGTCAGAAGTGTCCAGAATTAATTTAATCCTAGGAGTTGGTTCACCTGCATGCTTTGTCCTTTTAAGAATGGCAGGTGCCCAGATTCATTCACAGGGCTTCCTCTGTGCTACCACAATCATCATCCTAAAAACCTGGATGCTTGGCTCATCCTTTGCCAGAGTTAATTAGGATCCTTTTGTGTCTTTTATTTTTCTTTGGGCTACTCCTGGGTTCTGCAGTGAACCTTACATGAGGGTTTTTTCCTCCATTATATTTACATATTTGCTTATTTTTCTGAATGCACATGTGGTTTCTGTTCCACTTGGATACTGTTGACAAGAGTAAAGTGGAAAAGGAGAAATAAAGTAGATGGTGCCCTCATTAATTTAAATAAACTTTAATTATTTTTTTAAGGGGAGATCAGTCATAGAAATTGTTACTGTAAGAACAATTTCTTTTTTAAAGGTGAACTAATTTAGTGAGAAATATTACTTTAAAATGGGAATTACCCTCAAATCTAACACTACAGAAGTTTATGAAATGGACTTTAAAATGCTGCATGTCTGAGCAGTTTCAGGGACTGGTACATTTATCTTGTCCACATACTTTGCTCAACAAAAAGCAGGAACATACTAACCCATTCCAATGTCTTTTCTACATGTCTTCATTTTTAATAAAAAAGATTAAACAAACAAAACAATTTACATGTGCACGTGTATTAACTTATAGGGTTTTTTAACAAGTTCACAATATTTATGATAAAAATGTGAAGATTTTTTATTACTGAAATGTTTTCATAAACAGATGAGTAGCAAAAAATTCTATAAAAATTTCTAGTACATCTTTCTCTGTTTTTTTCTTACCTTCCCAAAGATTGTGTCAACTTAAGTCTTTATTTCTCATTTTTATAGTCCTGCCAAATAACTGAGATTGAGCTTTAGAATTGTTGGGTTTCTAAAATTTCACCACTAAACCTATCACTAGGTGGAGTTTGTGCTCTTCAAAGGTGTAACCAGCCTCTGGAGCCAGAAATTCTCCTTCTCATGGCCCCTGAAAGAAGTTAAAGATACTCATTTTGTATCAAATTTTCTGTTTCCAAATTCTCAGAAAACTTTATGTTTTCTGGCATATTGCTTTTGGCATTAAAGCACTCTGCTACCTCGGTGTATTTATACAGTGCACTTTGAAAGTTTTAAACTGTGGGTCTTTGTAAAAATATAAAGATAAAAAAATACAATTACTCATTTATTTCTAAGTATACATAGATGGACAGTGGTCAACTTCTGATAAATGTAAGTCTAGGTATACATGTTTTATTTAAATTGAAGTGGAATTGGAGCACCTTGCATACACAGATATACATGTACGTGCACTGAGACATATATGTGTATATTTATAGACAGAGACAGGTACACAGATATATGTGTGCATGTGTGTGTGTGCACAGGGATGATCAAACGTGTGCCTGACCTCCTGAAACTTCCATTTAATCCATATATTTACATATGCAAGTTTACTGATTTCCAGAAGCATAGGATTCATTTATGCAGCTGCTGTTCCTATGCAAGTTTGTGGTAATTGAAATTTAAAAAGGAGAGAATATGAAAGAAAGCTTATTTAGACACTATTTTATATGCCCAAAGTTAATAATCATAATTAATTTTGTGCAACTTCTTCCTTTTTATTCCACATCTTACTTGTACAATATGCAAAATACATCCAGTCTTTGTCCTTGAGGAATATTTTATGTCATGTTTTGACATTAGGGTAATTGAAGTAAACTGAATTCTTACCATGATGGTAAACCACTGTACGTCCTGATAATCAAGAATACAGAAGTTAATCTTGATGATTATGGAGAGACTAAGTATGGGTTTACTTAAAACATACTCATGTACTCAAGCTACTTTAGCTCTTTAAAATAGAAATATAAACATAACCATAAATATAAATATACTATCTCTAAATTCCCTCACAGTGCTTTTAGGAGCTATATTATTTATACCACTCACTACTTGGGGGAGTTTACAATATTTGCACACTCAGTTATGTCTAAATTCCTTTAAGGACCTAAATAATGTTTTGATTAAGTGTAACGAGACCACCATCAGTGGCAAAAATTGGAGATATTAATGCTTTGGTAGTAAGTCTGCTTTGCTCAGTATCTCATAGTGATGAGCTCCAAAGTTCACACCTATCTGCCCTTCAAGACTGTTCTGGAATTACATTTTATTCATGCTATGTAATTACCACTTTCTTTTTCCAGGCCAGATTGTAATGACTTTGCAAAAGCCTTGCAAAATCTAAATCTGGCTAAACTGTAGTTCTTTGATTTGTACACAAAGTTTTTACTCTTGAGACCATTCTCATTTAATGTTGAAACAGTTTAGACACAGCTGTTTCCAATCACACTCATCAAAAACTGAAGAGATATTAAGTTAGAATTTTAAGACATGTTAACAGCATCAAGAAAAAAAAAATATAGAGATTTTGTTCTTCAGTACATCTATTATACATGAGACCATGATTTAGCATTTACCATGCTGATTTACCACATACTGATGCATCAGTCAGTGTCTAACTGGGAATGAAATATTGTATTTCCCCCAAAATTTTCTGATTTTCTGGCTGCCTGAGACACACCAACCCTGCCAGATGGAATGGAAGAAAGGGAACTGGTGTTCTCCAAGACTTGCTACATGTGTACTCCATCTATGTGCTTTCTGTGTGCCTGACCCAGACCTTCATATTAAAATTTTCCACAACAAGGGTTTTGGCAGTGGAAAAAATGAGGGACAGATACTCTTACCATCTCCTTTGTGCTATTTTTAGGAAGCCACCTTTAACTGGGAAGAGCCAAGGAGATTTCTTCAGATCACTGGTGTAGGGAGCAGGAAAGTGCTCAGGGATGGGACACACTGCCAGAGACTGCTGGCCTGAAGAACATTTCACTTCCCTAAAATATGCTGTTTTTACAGTCAGGGAATCTTCTTTTATATTTTTGATAAAAAGCGTGCCATTGAGGTTTAGCTGTGACCTAGGAAAGAAAGTTATTAGGATATATATTAAGTTTATGATTTCACACAATAACTATGTGATCATCATCTCAGTTATTTAAGCTCCCAGAACAAGAATTTCCATTGGTGTACATTTTCCTGACATTTAGCAATGCTGTCTTCTCCTAGGCTGGCCTCTAGTGTTTCTTTCCTGTTTGTCACTTCAGGAAAAGCAGCTTTCTATTAACAAACATGGATATGTCACCTAAAATGCAAAGTGAGCCAAGTGCCTTTGGCGGGCATGCCCATGGGCAGGGGAGATGCCTTTTGAAAACTGCACTGAGTGAAGGACAAACTCTGCATGAAGGGATGATCCTGGGCTAGCTGTGGTCTTTCTTGGCTGCACTGGGTTCCTGTCATGAGCTGACAGCAGCAGCAGCACAGTGTGTGAGCAATTTTGTCAATCATTCCTCAGAGAGCACCCTATGTGACACTCACCCACCTGCCTCTTTCTGCCCATGTCTTCCTCTGAATAATTTTGCCTTTTTCCTCTTCATTCCTTCCCCACAGCAGCACCTATGGAAGGTCTGTTCTTCCTGCCTGCTGTCTCCACAGGTCAACCCCAATCTTTGCTTCCATTTCAGCCTCCCTTTCCCAGATTCTGTCAGAGTTTCTGTATCACTATCACTGCTAGTAATGAAGGGGTGGGACAATTTTCAGGCTAAGAACCATTTATTGCTCAGATAAACATCAGTCTCAGTGAGATTTTAAAGGAGCAAGTATCCAGCCACAGCTCAAGAGTAGTCACAAGTTCTTTGTTACAAGACAATACAGAACTTTCTAACCCAATGGACAGTCACTACAAGGTTGATTTTGCTTTTCTAACCTATCACCTTTACTCACTTCTACTGCACTGTGGATATTTTTACCCAATAGGTTATTATCACATGTATATACATATGCTTCTATTATAACTTTTAAATTCTTATTTTATACAGTGACATCACTATAGTATAGATCTATAGAACTATAGATATATATATATAGATATATATACTATAGATACTATACCATCTTACCCAACACAGTTTCTTACTTACTTAAGGTATATTCTTACAACTATAGAAACATAAGTTTAAGATTTTTCTACTTAATGTTTGTGTATTCAGTTTTTACATCAATTCAAGCTTCTTCTAAGGCTACACATCAAACTCCTCACTGTCTGTGGAAGTTTCTGTTTTTCCAATTCCCACATTTCCAACATTGGAGTGCACCCCACAGAATGTCTCTGAGTGGGATCCCAAAGGGATGAGTCAGAGCACAGCCCATGTGCAGCAGGCTGACATCCAGAGGGCAAAATTTGGCCAGAGGAGCTGGCAGTGACCAGCAGCTGGAAGGAGGGTCTAGTAACAGCAAATGCTGAGTTACAAATGAGTATTTTAAAGTGTCACTGCCACTAAACATGATGACAAAGTAATCATAAGCTCCAAGAATTCCAGGAATTGTACAGAAGAAATGCATTATGATGATTATTATTTTAAGACTATTTCTGCAGATATTTACAGGAGTAATTCTAAGTATCAGAGCATTTGCATTGAGTCAGGCAATTCACTGGGCTAAAACTGTGTTTGGATTGGGGCCTTATTTGTCATCCTCTTATGATTAATTAGACCTTACTCGACAAAAGCTTCATTACCCACATGTGGGTTGTTTGGGTATTTTTTTTTATTTCCTTATAATTCTTTTACTATTTGGAGAAAAAAACATTAGCTTGTTAAACATTATTAAAATTTGATTTTAATTAATTTCTCCTCTCCATCAAAAGTTGTATTTTTATTATCACTGTAACTGCAGTTGTTACAGCTATTCTGGCACAGAGTAATAAAATTATGCTTCTGAACTGCTGTTAAAAAAAGCAGAAAAGCAAAATTATGTTGTTATATCAACTCTTTGACATAACAAGAATAATTTTTTAAGTCTCCAAGAGCATTTAACTTTGCTTTGGGATTTATTTTTCTATTCAACCAAGACATTTTTACACATTTCAGTCCTCTAGTGTTGCTTGATTTCAGTCTTGAAAATTTTCTTTCACCTCTGAACAGTCAAAACCTGAATTTTCCATGAAAAGCAGACTGGTTAATTCTTGTGTAATACCAGGAGTGCCAGGAACTCCAACTCACCACAAGCTTAAATAGTTAGAATTTTTTTCTATAAAAATTAAAAGCTGAACTGGGAAAAAAAAAAACGGACTGTGCCTTCAAATTCAATATATGTGACATTTGTTTAATTCATTCATAATTCCACACGCTTCCTCCTATTTAAAGGTCCCTTAAGAGAACTACAAAAATCTCATTTATTAGGAATTCAAAATTTTTTTAAAGTTGCCTTGAATTTGCCTTTCAAGCCCCAGTCTCTTGGGTGATTTCACACTGCTGTCATTCTATCAAACATGAAGAATGAGTGTTACATTGCTCAGAGAAACTCCAGAATCCAGATGAAGGCACACCTTGGCACTGGCATTTTTCCAAGGCTCATTTCGAACAGGCCATGAAGGATGCATTCCCACTGCTACTTATGCTCACACTTGTGTCTAAATTTGAGCTGTAAGTTGCAGACTGCAGCTCTGAAATCTCTTGCCTTTCTCAGGGCAGCTGGGACACTCCAGGAGCTGGATGTCAGAGGAAAAGCAGCGTTGCAGGCACGC